CTGCTGCTTGAGCATCGCCGCATCGCCCTGTGTGGCCCCAGTGGCACCGGGTGGGTCAGCGGCTGGCCGAGTACCTCGTGCTGCGGTGAGTCTCACCTTCTCGAACTCTGTGTTTGTTTGTGCGCACTGTATGTGCACGAGCAAGTGCTGGCTGAGTAGTCTCTGTCTCTCTGTATAACTGCGACATATCTACGTATGTAGTATCGACATATGTACGTATGCGTGTAACACCGCTCAAAAATGCACATCTCAAGATTATGATAGCTCTTATTACATTTTGTAGAGTCGACAGCTTTGCGAGCGAGAACTTGTGCAACCGTGCTTGTTTACCCAGTGGCAGTGCTAATGTGAAATGCTGTACCGCGTATGTAGAGAATGATGAATTTAAGTTGATAATCTGTTGGAATGCTGTTGTTTATTGACATCATATTCAGAGAGTCGGACAAGTGTGATTTCAATACAACATGTAATCATTTATACTACATCATACGTAACAAACAACAAACAATACGTCTGATCTTGTAAATAACATTGATTGGTTGTACTATCCATAAGCGATTAATGACGTCGTTGCATGCAGGTCGGGTAAGGAGTCATCGCCTGGAGCGGATGAGGAGAGGACGAGAGAGAGGGAAGAGGAGAGAGGAACGAGAGGAGGAGATAGAGGGGGAGGAGGAGGAGAGAGAGGAGGGAGGAGGAGGTGGCCTCTCCCCCTCTCCTCTTCTTTCCTCTCCTCTCCTCCCCTTTCTCTCTCCTCCTCCTCCCCCTCTATCTCCTCCTCTCGTTCCTCTCTCCTCTTCCCTCTCTCTCGTCCTCTCTCTGCCGGGAGCGAGGAGGAGAGAGAGAGAGAGAGGGAGGGAGCACGAGGAGGAGGAAGGAGGGAGGAGTAGGAGGAGAGGAGAGGAGGAGGGAGGAGCGAGGGAGAGGAAAAGGAGGAGGCCTCTCCTCTCCTCTCCCCCTCCTCTTCTTTCCTCTCCTCTCCTCTCCTCCTCCTCCTCTCTCCTCTTCCCTTTTCTCTCTACCTATCTCTCGTTCGAGCGAGGCGGAGAGGGAGGGAGCGCGAGGGGAGAAGAGAAGAGGGGAGAGGGGGAGAAGAGAAGGGAACCCTCTCCCCCTCTCTTCTCTCCTCTCTCCTCTCCTCTCCTCTCCTCCTTCCTCCTCTTCCTCCCCCTCTCTCCTCTCCTCTCCCCCCTCTCCTCTCCTCTCCTCCTTCCTCCTCTCCCTCTCTCCTCCTCCCTCCTCTCCTCTCTTGCTCCTCCTCCTCTCCTCTCCCCGCTTCTTCGCGCCTCCTTCCTCCTCCCTCCTCTCCTCTCCTCCCTCCTCGCGCTCCCTCCCTCGCTCCCGGCAGAGAGAGAACGAGAGAGAGAGAGAAGGCAAAGAAGAGAGCGAGAAGGCAAAGAAGAGAAGACGAGAGGGGAGAGAGGGCGAGAAAAGAGGGAAGAGGAGAGAGGAGAGAAGGAGAAGGCGAAGAAGAGAGCGAAGGAGAGGCGAGAGGGAGAATGCGAGGAGAGAGAGGGAGATGAGAGAAAAGAGGGAAGAGGAGAGAGGAGAGAGGGAGAAGGAGAGGAGAGAGACGAGAGGGGCGAGAGGGCGACGGCAAAGAAGAGAGAGAACGAGAAGGGCGAGAGGGAGGAGAGAGGGAGAAGGCGAAGAGAGAGGAGAGAGGGAGAAGGCGAAGATGAGAGAGGAGAGAGAGAGAGAGAACGAGAGGGGCGAGAGGGAGGAGAGAGGGAGAAGGCGAAGATGAGAGGAGAGAGAGAGAGAGAGAGAACGAGAGAGGAGAGAGGGAGAGAGGGAGAAGGCGAAGAAGAGAGAGAGGGCGAAGAAGAGAGATGAGAGAGAGGGAGGAGACAGAGAGAGGGGAGAGAGGGAGAAGGCGAAGAAGAGAGATGAGAGGAGAGAGAATGAGAGAATGAGAGAACGAGAGGGGTAGAGAGGCAGAGAGAAAGGCAAGGAGAATACAAAAGTGACTTGCCTCTCTCAGCAGGTTGCCGAGGATGATCACCGTCGGTAGACATGATCACGGTCGGCGCCGCATAGCTCTTTGTTCGACTTGTGGCTCCAGGCGATGACTCCTTACCCGACCTGCATGCAACGACGTCATTAATCGCTTATCGATAGTACAATCAATCAATGTTATTTACAAGATCAGACGTATTGTTTGTTGTTTGTTACGTATGATGTAGTATAATCAATAAATGATTACATGTTGTCTTGAAATCACACTTGTCCGACTCTCTGAATGTACATGTGTCAATAAAGAACAGCGAGAGGGAAGAGAGAGGAGAGAGGGAGAAGAAGAGAGAGGAGAGGGGAGAGAGGGAAGAGAGGGGAGAGAGGGAAGAGAGGGGAGAGAGGGAGAAGGCGAAGAAGAGAGATGAGGGACGAGAGAGGAGAGAGAGGGGAGAGAGGGAGAAGGCG